AATGTACGCCTTCGCAAGGGAGATGAGGAAAAGGCAGCGTTCATTACCCATAGAGGGTTATTCGAACCCACTGTCATGTACTTCGGATTCTGTAATGCCCCTAGCACTTTCCAGGCCATGATGAACGACGTTTTAGGCGATCTCATTCGCACTGGAAAGGTGGCAGTCTATATAGATGACATCATCATCTTTACGGATAACCAGGAGGAACATGACCGTCTGACCAAAGAAGTCTTACAACGACTCCGAGACAATGACCTGTTCGTGAAACCAGAAAAGTGTCACTTTGCGACCACTTTCGTCAAGTTTCTCGGACTCATAATCTCAAAAGGGTCGATCCAAATGGACTCAGAAAAGGTCAATGGCGTGCTCAAATGGCCGGTGCCCACCAAGGTAAAGCAAGTACAAGCATTCCTTGGTCTGGCAAACTTCTATCGACGATTCATCAAGGATTTCGGATCGATGACCCGACCCTTGACTCTCTTAACACGTAAGGATGCACCATGGAAATGGGAAGATCCTCAACAAAAGGCATTCGAGGCCCTCAAAACTGCATTTACTTTCGCCCCGATCCTCGCACTCCCCAACGCAATTTGTCCCTTTAGATTAGAGACAGATTCCTCGGACTTTGCCACAGGCGCAGTCCTTGAACAGTTGGGAGAAGATGAACTCTGGCATCCTGTCGCTTATTACTCCAAGTCACTCAATGAACACGAGCGCAACTATGAGATTTACGACAAGGAAATGCTAGCTATCATTCAGGCCCTGGAAGAATATAGGCAATACTTTGAGGGACACCCGCACCCAGTTGAGATATGGTCGGATCATCTTAATCTTACCTATTTCCGACAAGCTCAAACACTGACCAGACGACAAGCTCGATGGTCACTTTACCTTACACGATTCAACTTTATTCTCCGTCACCGCCCCGGAAAGACGATGATGCGTGCCGATCCTCTATCCAGGAGGCCAGATCATGAGAAGGGGGTGAGCAATGACAATTCCGGGCAAACTTTACTTCGGCCCGAATATTTTGCCATCCACGCGATCTCAGCCACTCATTCCTCTGAAGTTGATGATGCAAAACTTCTAGAAAGAGTGAAATCGGCACTACAAGATGATGAAATGACCAAAGGTTACCAGCACCTACTAAAAACTGGCAAGCGAGAGTTTGGAAAAGACCTCCAGGAGTGGAACTTCGAACACGGATTGCTGTTACGAAGAGGAAAGGTCTATGTCCCGAAAGACTCTACGCTGCGGAATGAGCTGATTAAATTACATCACGACATTTCCACCGCCGGACACGCCGGACGATGGAAAACGCAAGAATTGATCAGCAGGAATTATTGATGGCCAGGGCTTACCATTGATGTCAAGAAGTATGTCCAAGGCTGTGTGGCTTGTCAAAGGAACAAGACGAGCAAGCAAAAGCCGTATGGACTACTACAACCTAACCCAGTACCACAAGGGCCTTGGGAAATGGTTACCTGTGACCTGATTACACAGTTACCACCAAGCCCAGACCATAGGGGAGAAAAGAAGACTGCCATTCTGGTAGTCGTCGACCGATTTACCAAACATGCTCACTACTATGCAGTAGATGACACGGTGACAGCATCGCAAGTAGCGTCGATTTTTTATAATGAAGTTTTCAAACTCCATGGAATTCCCAGGCAGATCATATCAGATCGAGGCACCCAGTTCTCAGCCAAACTATTCCAGGAGTTCTGTCAGAAACTTCACATTAAGTCGACGATGTCTACGGCTTATCACCCTGAAACGGACGGACAGACCGAACGAGTCAATCAGATTCTGGAGCAATATCTGCGTATGTACTGCAACTATCGACAAACGGATTGGGCCACATTATTGCCCACGGCGGAATTTGCATACAACAATCAAGCCTCAGAATCGACCGGTCTATCACCGTTCTTCATAGAGCATGGCCGACACCCCCGCATGGCACCCGATGTATTGGAAGGAATACAACATCCGTCCCTGGAACACTTATTCCATAACCGCGACCAAGCACAGGAACAAGCGCGTGCCGCTCTGTCATTAGCAGCCGAACGTATGAAATGGTATTTCGATCTTAAGAAGCAGGACGTCCCTTTCAAAGTGGGAGACGAAGTGCTTATTCGAGGAAAAGACCTCCATGTAAGAGTCAAAAGTCAGAAGCTGGCGACTCAAAACTATGGACCATTCAAGATCCTCGAAAAAATCGGAGCCGTATCATTCAAACTGCAATTACCAGCGGACATGAAGATACACCCTGTGTTTCACGCTTCAAAGTTAATTATGTTCCACCAAGACTCGATCCCGGGACGCATACCTCCCCCTAACCCTCCAGTTATCATCGACGGAGAGGAAGAATGGGACGTAGAGGATATTCTCGATTCGAGAATCCGGTATAACAAAACCCAGTATCTTGTCAAGTGGTTAGACTATGACCACAGCGATAATACTTGGGAACCACTGGAGAACCTCACACATGTCAAAGACAAAGTGGAGGAATTCCATAAGACACATCCAGACGCTCCAAGAGCTAAGCCGCGAACACGCAAAGCTCACAAAATTGCCCTGTCTGATCACCCTGATGAGTTCATGTTTTTCTTCCGCCTTCACCCAAATGCCCGAGCACCCTATAAGGGATCTCACGAAGCTGTAGGGTGGGATGTCAAGTCAGTAGAAGACTTAAACATCCCCCCACACTCCAGAATGCTCGCTGGCACCGGGTTGGCGGTCGACCCCCCAAAATGGACATACATCCGAGTAGCCCCCCGAAGTGGGCTAGCCCTCAAGGGAATTGATGTCGCAGCAGGGGTAGTAGACCCGGACTACACAGGGGAAATCAAGGTTCTGCTGGT